CTTACTGAATACATATTAGAGAAAAGACACTAGCCTCAATAAGGAGAAGGGTTATTTTACTCCAAATGAAAAACCATCTAATTTGACGCCTTTATAATGATAGATTTAGCACAGTTATGGTTTGGGTATGAAGTTACAAATCAGATATGAATGCTGGTATTGGTAATGGATGTTATGTCTTTGTATGTCATATTTCTAATGCACCGTTAGAATTAGGAATAAGGTTTCTATCAGTCTCTGGTGGTTTGAGTTCATGTGCAGGATTCTTCATTTTTGTGTTATGTTTCTGAAGTTATTCAAGGATGGCTTCAGTAACCTGAAAACTGACTCAAAGTGTTTGACAAACTCAAAATGTAAACAAAGCCAGGAACTAGCTCTTCTCTTGGTATTGAAGCTTTTTTTTAAAACAAAAACTGTCCTCACAAAGAAAGATTTGGTCATTCCTTGGGCAAGAGGCCTCTAGGGGAAGCCATGGTGCCACAGGCAGTGCTGGCAACATAGCAGGAAGCTGAATGCTCTGAGGGAATGCTGAACCATACGCTGGTAGTGCCACTGAAGTATCCTGCGCTGTTTCATTCTTCACATGCAGCATGAAAAGGAAGACTGAGGCCACCAGCTGTTGTAAAGATTTCAGTGCTCTTTCATGAGAAGGCTTGTCCTCATGTCTTTGCTGACCAGTAATGGGAGTGTTTGCTTTGCAATAACTTCTCTCAGATCTTCTATTCAAGCTGCTTATATTACTGTTTCACAAATTTTCATGAATGTGGCACAGTATTATCTGGAGGGCAGTGCTGGTGTTCCTCTGCAGGACTGCCAGTGCACCAATGCCAAATGAAATAGGGGCTATACAAGCAGCTTGGAATGCAATAAAATATATAGCATGTAAATTGAAGTCAACACTAAACCAAAATTAGATGTAATTTCTCTTAGCTGTGTATCTTCTAGTGCAGTTATAAAGCTCATTTGAAACACTTTCTCTGATTTATTTTTCTTATATAAATATTGATAAATGCATCAGTGCTGTGTGGCACAAGTGAAATCATACTGTGACCTGTGAGTTAAAAAGATGAATCTTTAAGAAACTCCCATTTTAGCCCAGAATTTCCACTACCTAGTGTTTTCAGTCTTGTTTTATTTTCCAGGTCATCTGCTCCATGATGATGTAGCCATCTGGGAGATTAGCATATATATTTTATGAAGCAGAGCAGAGCTCCCTCTTGTACTGACTCAGATGCTGAAGTCCCAGATTCACAGCCTCTTTCCTAGTCAGCACGGCACAGCTTGTACAGCTTCTGTTGCCAGTGGCTTACCTCTCCCCTGCATGAAGAGCAAACCTACATTAAACCGATGCTGGTAAAGCAGTACTTTTCTAAAGTGAGGGAAAAGCTCGGTCCAGTTTTACAGCCATGCACTGAGGCAATTTATAACGATAGAAGAATCAATTCGTCAGTGAAGCTGACATTATTTGAGGAGACATTATCAAATAACTGTCTGCTGGCATTACGCACATCTCCAGATTGCTTTATATGGCTCTATCTGTGGTTATAACTATGGGACACAGTTGACACACATCCTAGGAAATGTATAAAAGCCAAATGCTTCAGTGCCAAGGTAATTTAAGATGCAATATAAATTACCATGGAATGCATAAGGAGTGAGCTATGCTAAGGAGACACACCAAGGACCATCTCCTTAATCTTTTATACCTTCTAAGTGTGCTGGCAGAGATGTGTTTTCATCAAAGCTATTGTTGGAACAACAGTAGTGACATTCTAGTACTACGTTGTAGATACTGGTACTGTTTCTTCCTTCTGGACTTTTTTTTTTCTTCTCTAGGTTTTTTTTTTTTTGCCTATACAGAGCACACAGACAAGGAGTCTGGAGTGCCAAGATTTTGATAACCAGTATAGTTTCTAATGAGCCAGTCCATAGTTATAAAGATGTTGTTATAGAACAGCTAGGTCCAGTTAAGAGAGGGAAAAGTGTCAGTGGAAACAGAAAGCACTAGTTTAATAGTGCACACAAATAATCCTCAGAAGATAGGGCAAAAACTGAGATGGTTGTTCTAAATATACACAAATAATGGAATGCAATCAGCAGGGCAGAGTTTTTGAAGCTAAGGCTAGGGATAGATGGGCCTCTCTTTTCTCCTCTAATAACTTTTGTTTTCTAACACAAAAGCAAGACTAAGCCTGCGTTAAAACCCTTGGTCCTAAATTTCCATTGTGAAGGCATTCTGAACTACATTCAGATTATCATCCATATTTTACAGATTAGTCTCCTTTTTAAACACATTGTGATGAAATCTGTTGCCAAACATTCAGAATCACTGAATGGGGATTCAGATACAGACTTTGAGATTTGAATCTACAGTCTAATTCTCATTGTTCAGATTTGCTTGAATAATAACGTGAATATGTAGAGTCTTCTTAGAGAACCTGTAAGAAAAAAAAAACAACCCCCCCTACTGTAGCATGTATGCTGTTCATCAGACAATCGTGCACTATTCCAAAACATTCTGTATCTCATTAGAGCTAAAATATCATTCACAGACTGCCTATGCTATTTAATGTTACTTTCTTCTGATTTTTGCCAGTTACTGACATATTAGTTTAACATTAACTGACTCTTCTGATCAAGATAAATAGATGAACTGCCTTTCCAGTCTGCCCATGTATTTACAAGCAGAAACTGCTTTCTGAGATGGCTGGTGAATGATGCCAAGAGAAATTTCTGAGAATGGTAGAAACCCATGAGGGCTCCTGCAGAGCATTTCCCTGGTCACTCTCCCAGCTCCAGGTACTTATTGCTCTGGGTTTCCTACACAAGTGAGACTATTTCTGCAGAAATATATCATGGAAGAAGAAAAAGCACAAGGAGAAAAAAGAAAAAATCAAGATCTATTTCACAAGTTAAGTTGGCTGCATACCACAATACCAAGGCACTCCACATGAGGGCAGGGCTTTGTCTAGGTTGCTGCAGTAGACAATCTGAGCATGTATAAAGTCAATTTCCTTAGAGTTTTCACCATTAGCAGTGTAACTCTGCTTTAAAGGTTTTGGTGTTCTATTGTAGAAATGCTTCAACCAGCTAAAAGACAGGCGGCCTTTATTTTGCTGTCTCATTAAATTTTTCGTAGGACAATTTTTAAAGAATAATATTCACTTTGGACTGTATTTCCCCATTGTGTGGTTTAAAGAAGCCGTTATTTTCAGTTAATATAACTGGACAGAAAGATACTGGATGCAGCTGAGGGTGTTTTAAAGAAGGATGTTAACACCACTCCTTCAGATTTCTCCTCAATTATTTATTATTTGAACTTTAAAAATTACAGATACAGCTATATGTTAACCCCTCAGCATCATGAGGAAGGCAAGCTAACCTGACTGTGGGTTGAACAGGAGAGGTCTGCCATTCCCCATCCCATCCTGTGCCCTTATATTGTGCTGGCTTTAATGATCATGCTTGCACACAGCCCTAACACGAGTCAGACCAACATGAAAAGCTGACTGAAATCTCCCTGCCTTTACAGGGTGGCTTAGCTTTCAGATGGCTGAATGAGCTGAAATGACTCTAGAGCCACGCAGTCACTGCTGCTGGAATCAGGAAAGCAGGTCAGGCATGTGACACAGCGCAGGGAAGTCCCTTTCAGCAGCAATAACGTTGGATAAACTCAGATTAATGGTGAAAACACTGTTTAGTAACAAACAAACGGTGGAAAGGGTGCACCCTGAGATCCAGCCCCACTGGCAAGAGGGAAATACAAAAGTCCCATGCAGAACACTGAGGAAGTACTGGCTGTCACCTTGTACATTACAAAACAACAAAAGCTCCAAAACACCACCAAGTGCTTCATTTTAAGTGCAGAATAATAATAAAAAAAAATCATTTAGCAGATGAGAATTGTGTAATCCTCTTTGCAAAACTCTGAACAGACACTAAGCCCAAGATCTCATGTGGGAACACATTACATGCAGTTGGGAAAGCAAGCACTTCCAGTCAGGAGGTATTGCATGATAAGACTTTTCACCAGCAGGTTTATCAGTGACACCTGCAATGACAAATGAAGAAAAGCCGCCCTTTTTTTGTCACTATTACACTTTTACTCATTTTTCACTTGGTGAGCCACCCGCATTAATCTTGCGTGAAGCCCGGGTAACGCCTGCACTGGCACACAGCCTGATCACGTGGGGATAAACGAAACCGCAGCCCCTCTTGGCCCGCGTCTGCGCTTCCACGCTGCGCCTGCTACAGCCGACCGCACCGCCGCCCTCGCCGCTCCCCACAGCACAACATGGCGGCGGCCGCCCGCAGCGCGCTCGTGGCCTCGTACCGAGCGCAGGCGCAATCCCGCCCAAAACCGCGGCCTCAGCGTCGCATGGAGGGCCCGCGCTGCCATTGGCCAGTGACGCCGCGGCCGGCCCCGCCCTCCAGCTGGCGGCGGGCGAGCGTGGCCCCGCTCACTCACGTCCGCCCTCTTTCGGCCCTCCCCGCGTCGCGCCGCTTTCCCCAGCCAACGAGATGCGGCGGGGCGGGCGGGGCTCGGTGCCCTTAACTGACAATTGCGGCGAGGCCAATGGGAAGCGGCGGTTGACGGGGCGGGGGCCGATGGGGGGGGGACGCCGGTGAGCGCGAGGCTCCGGCGCGAGGGGGTGTGGGCGTGGCCGAGAGGGATAGAGCCCTCAATCAGGTGAGAGGGAGGCGTTGACGGGCGTGAGCGGCGGCCAATCGCGGCGAGGAGCCGGGCCGCCCCTCCCCTCCCGCCGCCGAAGCTGCCAGAGAGTCAGGTGGCTCCGGGATGCGCGGCCGCGGCGGCAGGAGGAGGCGGGCGGGGAGGAGAGGGATGCGGCGGCGGCTCGGCGGCACGCGCCGCCCGCCCTCACCCCTTCCCGCGCTGGGCTGAGGCGGATCCGGGCCGGGCCGCGGCGGCGGCACCCGCTGCCGGGCCGCATGAACAATAGGCGGCGGTACCGGCCCCGCCGCCCCCCGCAGCGCTCTGCTGCCGCGGGCGCCTCCCCCTATGGAGCAGCCTCGCCATGGAGCCCCTCACAGCGCTCAGCCAGGAGGGCGCGGGCGGCGGGGAACCGCCGGGCGGCGGACCGCTCTGGACGGCCGTCTTCGAGTACGAGGCGTGCGGCGAGGACGAGCTGAGCCTGCGGCCGGGAGACGTGGTGCAGGTGCTGTCCCGGGACTCGCAGGTGTCCGGCGACGAGGGCTGGTGGACGGGGCAGATCGACCAGCGCGTCGGCATCTTCCCCAGCAACTACGTGAGCAGCGGCGTGCAAGGGGGCGGCCCGGAGCTGCGCGCCCGCTACCCGCCGCCCCCCACCATACAGCGTAAGGAGCGCGGCAGGGGGGGGCGCCGCGGGTACCGGGGGCCGCGGCTGTGGGGAGCGGCGCGGCGAGGCGAGGCCCGGCCCTCGGCACGGACGGCCCCGCGAGGGCGGCCCCGGGAGCGGAGCGCGAGGCGGTTCGGCGCTGCGCCGCGCGGGGCTGCCTGGGGGCCTTTCCTGTCGGCAGCCCGGCGGTCTTCTGTCTCCCAGGTTCGGCAGCGCGGGCGCCGCGTTCGCGGTTATTGCCGTTTCCCTTTGTGAAATACCGTGCTTCTGTGGGCTATAAACCTTCACACGGCTGAAGCTTCGTGTGGCCTCCGGTGGCTCCCCTTTAAGAATGTCCTTAAGGAGAGAGACGTTGCTGTGTGGGAAGCGGTGGCTTTCTGCAACGATCCTTCGTTACTCGTTCATTATTTTCCTTGCTCCTAACCAGAAGTCTATTATCTTTTACTCCTACGTTAATTTGTGTTAGCAGGTTCCCGTTTGCCATTTCCCTAGTTACAAACGCTGCTCAATAACAACTCTGAATGAGTTTTATCAGAGTTTGGATATTTGGGCCTACCTGAGAGTTGTGTGATTAAGGTGTGATGCTGAAAGTATGGAGGGGTTGGTTTGTACCTAATTTCAGAGCAGTTTTGAAGCCTTTGAGCGATTTCATTTTTGCTTATTCTTGCTGCCACGTATAATTGCGGAAAGTGAAACAAGATGGAATGGATGTTATTAAATCTTGTTTCTGTCAGTATTGGCAATTCAGGCAAGAATAAAGTTGTGGGTTGGTGTTTTTTTTTGTTTGTTTGTTTGTTTTTTGGGGGGGAGGCAGAGATGAATCTTCATCTTTTCTAGAAAGTAAAAGGGGTGAAGATGCTTTGTCCTATCTGGGACATATCTCCAAGGAATACAACTAATAACTGCTTTTTTTTTTTTTTTTTTTTTCCTTATTCCACATCTGCTTGAAAGCATTTAGGTAGAGAGCTCAGTAATTTGTAGAATTACTCTTGGAAATATGAACAGACTGCTGGGCAGCAGTGGGGCTTGCTTTCATGCTGGAAGAGCATAGCGTATTTTTTCCCTCATGGAGAAAATGCTGCAAATGCTCAGTAGGTTTTGCCTCGTGATAGCTGGGAAGAACCACTTCTACAGAGATTCTTGAAACCTCAGCTTCTCTCATCCTTTGGGCTGTTTTAGCACAGTCTTTATAACTATGTTTTCTCCTGTCCTATTACACTTTCCGAGGCAAGGTAGTTCAAGAACAGTTGTGGAGTTGCACCATCTCCCTTTATCCTTGTTATCTTACCCTTCTGTTGCCCTAACAGGGCAGCACTGCCTCTTTTCTCAAGTAAGCAACCATAAGTTCATGATGCAATAGAATTTATTCCCCTGCAGTAAGTTTTTAACGTGCATTCTGGTGGTGGTGTGGTGTTTGTTTTTGTTTGTTTTTTAAGAAACAGTGAGATTTGGACAAGTGGAAAGGTTGGTTGCTTTTGAACTGGATTTTGAAGCTTGACTTCACAGATCTGCCCTTCACAAGGAGTGATGCTCCCTTTTAGTGTTGGCACTGCTAACTTGAGGGCTATTTGGAGTACTGATCCACTGTTAACTTGCTTAATGGAGTAATTCAGAGTAGTAATTTGTAGCAGTCATGCAGGTCATTCTAGAGATGTGCACCTCAGTGCAGAAGCTATTTTTAGTTGCTTCCTGAAGTTTGTCTTCATGTATCATGAAGGTGTTGGAGTGCAAGGTCTTGAGACATTGCTTCCACTGAGAGTTGTGGTATCGAGTGGCTGCACACTTCCAGCCATCCTGACAGCTCTCAGCCTTACCTCGATACCCTAAGGAGAACTACCAAGCATGCTCTCCCTGCATCCCAATGCAGGCTGTCAGCGATGGATCTATTTGAAGGACCCTCATTTACACTATGGGCTCTTATGCATGACAGACTCAGCTAAGTGGCTTAATCATATGGTGTAATGAATACCGATTAAACAACGATTACTTTGCAATTGTCAACTTCCCCACCGGTTAATGGCATACAGGCTCTAATTCCTTTTCAGTCCAAGACCAATGATAGCGCTTCTTAAGTTCTCTGGCAATACAATCTGCACCCTGTATGTTCCCATTGTCTCTACAGTTTATTATAGTGTGTCTTAAATTAACTTGAGCTTAGAGAAGGGTTAGCGTGTTCAGAAAGATAAGGGGAAATGAGTCTTTTATGTGCTACTGTAGCAGTGCAACCGACTCTGTGAAGTTAAACTAAATCAACACAAAATACTTCTGTAATTAAAAAGCTTGTCTAAAAGTGAGCTTTTTTCCTGATTAAACTACTTTTGAGGATGAGAAGGCCAGTCTGCATTAAAGAAACGTGCACTCATTCACGGCAAAGATGGCTCCTGCAAATAAAAGAACTCATTTCAAAATTCCGTGCAGTGTCGTGTCTTAAATTTCACCTGGAAGCGTAGATCTCGCTGGTGTGCCCCAGGCTGCTTCAGCTGTGCGCCCAGCAGGGCGTTACTGTTTGTGTAGGGGTGCAGCTGACGGCGCCCGCGCCGTTCGGTTTCCGTGCGTGGCCTTTTCCTCCCGGCGCGGCCCCGGGGGGAGCTGTCCCTTCAGCACCGCCGCTGTCCGGCCGCGGGCTGGCCGCGCTGCGCTCGCTGCCCGCGAGTACTGCTGCGGGCTTACGTGTTTGGTTCTTCTCGGACTTGTCATTGACTCCATTGTTCGTGGAACAATAGAGAAAAGAAAACAGGCATTCTTATTATGCGCTATATGCAGTAGTAAAAAATTGTTTTCCTTATTGCTGGCCCTGCATGCTCAGTATGCAGTCTGATCCATCTGTTTGTCACACAATTGTCAGTACTGTCAGAATTGGCAAACAGATCTCTTGGGAAACAAGCCTGCAAAGCTTTTAAAGTGTGGAGGAATAAGCTTGATTTTGGAAAGATTAAAATATTGTTAGTGGCATTTGAATAAAAACTTTCAAATACGGCTGAATTCAAGAGAAGATGTTTGATATTTACATTTAATTCTATAACAGCAAGCACTGTAGTCACATCAGTGGAGATTAGCATGTGGCTGTCTCTTGTTTTAGTTTTCAAAATTTTGCGCTATCAGTGATGGCAAGAAATTAGGATTTATCCTTAACTTTGTTTCAGCATGTTAAGACGATGATATTTTTAAGTGTATCATACACAGCTGTGATGTTGAAATCATCACCATTGAGTGACTACTTTATGGAAGTTTTTACAATACTACAAGTTCTTTTTTATTGTACTAGTTATTTAACAAATATTATTAGAAGGGACTACTGCTTCCATTTGTGTAATTTTGGGTAGAAAATTGGCCCATCTTATAAGGGTAAGGGTGAGGTTGGGCAATATGGACCTTGAGTAAATATATGGGCTGCATAGTTGCTAGCTAAACATTTACATCTTTATTTTTTTTTTTTTTTTCCCCCCCCCCCCCCCCTCTTTTCCTAGTCTTGGAGATCGACTTCTCAGAACTTGTTCTGGAGGAAATCATTGGCATAGGAGGCTTCGGAAAAGTATATCGAGCTGTGTGGATAGGAGATGAGGTTGCTGTCAAGGCAGCTCGTTATGACCCTGATGAGGACATCAGCCAGACCATTGAGAATGTCCGCCAAGAAGCCAAGCTCTTTGCAATGTTAAAGCATCCCAACATCATTGCCCTCAGGGGCGTGTGTTTGAAGGAGCCTAATCTTTGCTTGATCATGGAGTTTGCCCGTGGAGGATCATTAAATAGAGTGTTGTCTGGTAAAAGGATACCTCCTGACATCTTAGTGAACTGGGCAGTACAGATTGCAAAGGGAATGAACTACTTGCACGAGGAAGCAATTGTTCCTATAATTCACCGTGACCTGAAGTCCAGCAACAGTAAGTGCTATACAATTAACAGTAAGGGAACTGGGATCAATTTTCAGAAAGAAATAGTATATAGAAGAGAGGGGAATAACTCTTAATTTAGGAATCCTTTCTTGTGAACCACTGTATCCTCTAATTTAATCCGAGAGGGGTTTAGTTGTCTACAGTATGGTGCTACAGACCACAGAAAAACATGTGAATGCTGTTACTTTGTAGAAGTGACTTAAGTGACTGAAAAACTGTAATTGGAGTATTCTTCTGTAGTAGTTCTCATACATATGATGTCTTAGTTCTTCTGGCATTTCAGTGGATTCTGGTGTGTTCGAAAGAGCTTTTGAGCTTAAACTGTGCACCTTCTGTCTACTTTTTTGAAGGATAAAAATGTCTTTTGGAAAGATTAACACCCTAAAGCTTTTATTTTCTTTGCTGTATTTTGCTGTATGTATGAGATATAAGCTTAATTTCCTTACAGGAGATAATCTCTACTAAGTGGGAACTTCTCCCAGTCCCTCACAGAGCTATTGTTGACAGAAGCATTTTTTTTTTTTGGTAGAAATTTTTTTTTTCTCCAATTTTCTCCTATTTTTTTTCTCCAAACTTTATTTGAAGTCAAATGCACATACAGAACCATTATTTATGAATGTTAGAGCAAACTGCTGTGGTGGCTTAATGATCATCTCCATCCTGATGTCAGTTTGCAACTGTTTGGCTTTGGCCTTTCTCTGTGCTTATTTCTTTTCTAGATGATAAAAGAAATCAACAATCTGCATGTTAACTGCAGTGATTTAGTTAGATGTGTTAGTAGGAATCCATTTGTATTTATGACTTGAATTAATAAGAAGCACTATGAAATGGGTGGCTGAGATGCAGGCACATGCCCTCCTTTGCTTTGAGGAGAGTAACATTTAGCAGAGAGGCCTGACAGATGGGAATTTTTATATCTTAAATAGATTTGCTAGAGCTGGTATTAACCATTACGATGCTATAAATTTCAAGTCTGCAGTATCTCCCTAGGTTTTTTGTCTTTTAATCTTTTTTTTTCCTTTAGAACTAACTATGTATGTTTACTGCCACAAGTATTAACTTTTATTGCTGAGTTTGAAAATAGAAACTAGGAATTTTCAAATTTATTTCTGTATTATGCTACTAAAGTTTCCCTTTTTTCTTGAAAAATCAAAGCAATCAACATCTAAACTTCTTCCCTTTCAAGTGGCAATACGTATTGGCATATTAATAAAGTGAGAAGAAAGATTGAGTGGTTGTGTTAATTAAGGAAAGGCTGGCTTCATCTGTGAAAAAGAAATAATGAAGAGTTGCTTACCTAAGCAAATACTGTCTTATTTCACTAGCAGGCTGTTGAGACTTGATTGCTTAGTGTCTGAACATTTTGAGGCTTAGAAGGAAAGCTAATTCTAAAATAAACGGCTGTTACGTCCTGGCTTTTCACTGTTTCGTTCAGACTAGAGACTGCTAGTTGTGAAAGGAAAATGTACCAGTGCAATGAGAGGTGCTCGGGCACACAGGATTGCCAATGAAACTCAGATATGGGTGTTAGAAAGCATCTGTTCTGGCAGCAAAAAAAAAAAAAAAAAAAAAAAAAAGTCTCTTGTCAGAATGATTCAGCAGTACATAATTTGTGCTGTGCTGTAAATCTTCAGTGAGAAGTGAAAGGTTCTGCTAAATAAATTGCTAGAATTTTCCTCATTTGGGAAGAAACAATTGGAAGGGAATAATCAATGAGAATGCCTGTTGAATAATTCCAGGATGTTCTGTGTTTGGAGCAGAGCGGGGGAGAATTTCTAATTATTATTGGATCACCATGTATATACTGTTTGTGTTTTGTGTGGTTTTCTGATGTATCTAACTTTCCTATTGCTGTGGGTAGTTGAGAATGAATTAAGTTATCAGCTTTATGGCTGAGGAATTACAAGCTTGTTGCTTTTTTTTTTTTTTTTTTTTTTTTGTACAAGTTTTCACCCACCAACTGGATAGAAAGTAATGCATCTCTGCAGAAGGAACAGCTTCTGCTCGCCAGATCTTGGAAAGGATTCTTGCAGGCAACTTCTGCCATGTACTGAACATCTACCAGTACTCCAGAGCTGCCATGAGAGCATCTGTATTGGTCTACTGATTTGTACTGCCTAGCTTTAGTAATAACTACTTGTACAATTCTTCTACATCTTGTCTTCAAGAACCACCTGCTATCTTGGCCTTGTGCTGACTGTCTGAAGCTGCAGTAGTCATCAGTATGAGAGTTAGGAAGTTAGATGAGGGAGTGAGAAGGAACAGTTGGCTTATTTAAAGTCAGATTTCCTGCTGGAGTAGTAGAAGATCAGATAGTGCTTTGCTCTCAGATGCCTGCCTGTGTTCAGGCAGATGCAGGCTGCATAAGGACAATACTTCATGCCGAACCTTCTAAAAATAGTCGTATTACATTTGAAACTATGAAATTAGTCACATGAACACCTTAATGCAAGTCTGAGAAATTACCCAATTACATACCAGGATTTGAAAATATCCTTTTTAATCTGAGGTATTGCAGTTTTATCTGGAATCAACTAGTAGGTACCTCAACAGTGTTTTCAACATTTTGGATGGTGTAGTAAAGAATAGGGTTTCATTGCTCTAGGAGGTAACTCCATTTCGTATGGAGACTGAACCTTGTGAGATTATTTGGGAATTCTGGGTGGTGTAGTTCCTTGAGATTTTCTCAGTCAAAAAACACTCTGTCACAATTTTCTGTTTTCCTTTTAATCAAAAACTTAAACATCTTATTTTTGTTCCACCATTTTTCTTAATTTATTTGACATTTTTGTTATCTTACTTTTTTTTGTTTAAATTATTCTAATGCAGTTACAGTGTAGAAAGCATCCTGTAAGCTTTAGAAGCAGTGTTCATTTCAGTTAGAATTTTAATCTTTGGAGGTGAGGGTCTGAGCTGCCTGGATGTTATCAGGAAATGGGCGGATAAAATCTTTACAGAACAGATTGCACACCTGTGACTTATTTTTAGAGATCTGAAATTCTTTTGCTGAATGTCAGTTTGCAGCGAGTCTGGGAGGTGAGTGTTCCGCTGGAATCACCATCTCCCGTGTTAGCTGTCTAACTACAGAATAGAAAGAGGATAACCCAGGGAAGCTGTTCAGTTCTGTTGTGAGGGGATGAATCTTGCATTTGGTTCAAGAGACTCGGTTCTTTTTATATAAGAAATTAATCTTTTTTTTTAATCTGTTGACAGAATCATCTGATTCTTTCCTCTTTTCATCTGGTGGTATTGTTAACCTTTGTCTCTTCTCCTGCGTGTCAGTGCTCCACTGAGCATCTGCTACAGAATTGTTAGTAGGCCTCTCCCAGTGTGGAGGCATCTAAATCATGGAAATATGGAGCTACAGGAGGAAAAGAAAAAAAAAAGCAGTAGGAAATGCCCACTGAAGGAAACATCATCTGATTGGAGTCTTGTTTTTGGCTGTGGGAAGACGTTCGGTCAGTAATGCTGAAGATCAAAAAGGGCAGTCCTGCTGGTTTCAGTGAAGTACTGTAAATAATCAAGCTGTTTCAATTTGTCTGCCAGCACTAGATATGCCAGCATTGTTAGAGGAATAATGCCCATTAACTAATGCTGAAGAGAACTAGCAAAAGTATATATTTGCTCCTTTTTTTTTTTAGCTGGCTCAGCAAAACATGGTTGTTCTTTGCACAGCACTAAGATTTTGCTGAGGGTATTCATGCTACTTAGCAAAATGCTTTATAAAAGCTGCTATTTGCGTTCCACAGAGTGGCACGGATTAGCAGGGAAGTGATATGTCCAAGGTCAAAGAAAGAGGTAAGGACAGAGCTCAAAATAAAGCCCAGTAGTTCTGATTCATTCAAGTCGGTAGTTCTTTCCTTCTTGTTCTTTGGAGGTGTTCACCTCACCACCTACTAAGAGGACCAAGGTAAGTCTGTGGTATCCTGAGAATTAAAACTAGCTTTCTGAAGATCTCCTGAGTCTGCTATAGCTTTGATTATTAGTTTTATGCTGTTAAGCCTTTTTCAGTTCGTAAAAACGCTGGTAGAGCTGAACGATGGTCTATAAACAGTTGTTCCTAGGATTTAAAATGTTCTTTGTTCTTTATTTTTTTAAACTGTGGTCAGAAGCAAGGATGGTTTGCAACTAGTTTGAGTCCAATCTCAGGATGCCATGACTTGAATATTACATAGCAGTGCTGCTAACATATGGTTAGTTATTCCATTTCTTGTTGCAGTACTGGATCCCAATCCATTTGTAAATGACATTCTTCCTGTTGGTCCATTCTGAGAAGGAAAAATGCTTAATGTAAACCTCTTGCTCTATCTGATGGCATCACAGAGGAAAGTTTTCTCAGGGTCTGGTTAATGTACGTTGGCAGAGCAGTTTGCAAGTCTGCACTGCTATTACTGCTTCTTGCACTTCAATGTAATTTGCTGAGTAATTCTCCAGTGTTGTACTTTCTACCCAAATGGATTTCCTTTGTCAGTGCTATGAAATGAATGTGAGTAATGCTTCATATAAAGGATAGTGAAAGTATTTTAAGGACATCTGAGTATTTTAGGCTGGGTGGATTATTGATTTAGCCTCAGTTAGTTGGTCTTTTCTCCTGTGAGAGGAAAGTGAAATAAAAGTAATTTTTTTTTTTTGACAGAAGCTGTGTGATTAATTTGGATTAAAATAGTCCATATAGTAAAATCAAGTGTTTTATACTGCCTGAGTACACTCTTGGAGGTGATTAAAGGTGGCTTCTTAGGTTTGTAGTGGAAATGCTAAGTCATGGCTTGAATCAGTGATTGAGCACCTGGTAGGAAGGCAGGGCCAACCTTAGGGAGCTCAGGTGCATGCAGTGCAGCCAAATGACCAGAAGGGGTGGAGCCAGGATCCTCTCCTTCCCATTCCTCATATAAGTGCTGGCAGTGGAGGTGAGGGTATCTTGCTGCAGATCTCTGTGTACCTGGGGCCTTCTGAAGGTAAGTGGCTTCTTTCCTTTATTTCTGTGCCTA